CTTCAGTAAATAAAATACACATTTCACAACATTCTTGCAGCTGTAGAGTAATGGAAGCAATTTAGACCAAGGTTTCATGAGCCAGAAAACATGTACTGACTGAGTGACTGCTGTATATTGACTTCTCACATAATGTTGATCAAACAAGAGCTATGAAAATTTAGATATCATGCACCCTACAAGACATACTGCAATGATGCACAAGGGATTGATATACAACAGGTGAAAAAATGTTCTTATTAATAGGGAAACTTGTCTGGAAAGCAGACAGGAAACAGGGATAGAAATCTGACTGAAGACACCAGCATGGCTGGGGAAGACTGAGCAGGCATGATGTCTGATCTGTATGTCCAAACTGCTTTATGGAAGACTGATCATCTTCCATATAGCAGATTTACCTCCCACAATGCCTTGATGGCTATTAACTTTTCAATTCCAAACCAACTGGAACAGAGCTGCAGGAATCAGAGACTGCCGAATTCCCTCTTCTTACAGCAGCCCTATCTCAGTGCCCAGCAGCATTTTCATGTTAATTGACTTCCACACCAAGAAGTGAGCTAAGGACATATCACTAGAATGATTTTCCTCTCTGTCCTAAAGTTCTCCCTTTGCTAGCAATTTCCTTATGTTTGCAAAAGCCAGCCAGTAATTAGCATGGTTTTTCAGACATCTGCAGAAAGTTGTCCCCAGGGTGTCCACCCATAAGAACACCCACAGTGCAACAAGATCAACATCTAATCATGTACAAGGAGGCACAAAAACAYTACCAGATGCTTCTGCTAGCCGGGCAATGCCTTTAAACATAGGTCATACTCTCATGACCTAAATCTAGACTGTCAGGTAATAATACAGTGCTGCACAGATTCAAGTTTAATAACTTTGAAATTTCAGCTTCACTTATGGACTTTGTAGCATTCTTAGAAAATGTTTGCAACTCTGCTTTGGTCTTCCTTGAATATACATGTATATCTAGACAGTCAAACAGCCATCTGAGAGCAATGTCTGGGTTCCTCAAGCAGAAGAGCAAGTTGTGGCTTAAACAAAGGTATTGTATTTGATTCAATTACACTATCTATTTGGTATCTATTTGTGTGCAATTGTGTATCTATTTGTGTGCAACTGTGTGCAATTTAGCAAGACAGAAAATTCTGCAGATACTAAATTTTAAAGAAGAACAGGTTTTTTTTTTCTTTTAATTTGGCATTCAGCTATCCATCAGGATAAGCGATAAGTATCTTGGCAGATAATTTGGGACATGTGGCTTTGAAAAACTGATAGTACTTGGATAAGTTTCCTGAACTCATTCACCTTAAATCCTGTTATTCTCTTTCACATATTCTATAGCATCTGGTGCAGCTAAAAAAATGTAGAAAATATGCAAGTGACAAAATGACCTTTTCTTGAATTATTTTAAACTATACCAAAAAAGACTCACACACAAACCAAGTAAGAGAAGGAGTTAAATAAAATTCAAAGTTGTTAAATATATATGCTTCATCTGTAGTCACCAGATGGCACCAGATATATCCATATACTGATAATCAGCTTAAAACCACTGGAATACGTGTGGTCTCTGAGATAAACCATCACAGAGGGGTATTAGCTGAAAGCCAGTATCTAAGTAATCAATAAGACCTGAGCAAAACTTTTTCTGAGAGAGAAAGCATTTAAGAGGAAGATTGCTTGCTAATTGTAAAGGTATTGTTTCTAAAATGTTTTTTAATACAAAAATAATATGATATTTCAAATAAATGTATTGATTCTTGCTCTAAATTAACACCTTGTTTACATATWTTTCCTTATGATTTTAACTACTCARATGTTTTCAAAGAATGCAAGCAATTTCAAAATAATACATTTAAGTTCTCCTGAAGAACTGTAGCTTTCTGCTGCAGCTTTTTCAAGCTTCAGTTTWTATCACTGCCACTGTCTTATATATGGAATTCTATGTTTAAAAAAATGTTTTACCAATATAACCACATTATTTTATGATGTTAAGGCTGAAATTAGCTATGCCTGATACCCAGGATAGTACCTCTATGAACATACAGAATAGTGATAGTTTGTTCATTTAACTGTAAATCATGAATCATTAGTCTTTTCTTTATTTGAATGCTCATAACTTTCATAACTGATGACAATATTTGGGAAACTAAACTGTTTTTTGAGCTTGGCAGTGTTTTGCAAAAGCATTTTTCTTATTCTTTGTCTGTCTTCTTTGCAAATGACTTTTCAACAAGGGCAAAAGAAAACAGAAAAAGGGTGAAATCTTAACCTCACTGAAATCAATGACAAAACTCCCACTGACTTAAAGGGCCTGAGATTTTACCACACATGACCAACTTTTCACAAAGAAGATAGAAAACTAAACAGAAAAAGCTATCATGTTATTAAAAGCACAGTCTGAACATGAACCATCCAAATATGACAAATATGTACAWATAACAAAAGTAGCATAAGAAAATCAAGCTGTAGTTTGAAATAAAGAATTTCAGATGGAACTTCAGTCCAAATACTAGTGAAAAAAAWTTTAGTATCTAATTTTAAGCATCCATAGTTTGTATCTTTAGGCTACTGCAATGAATTTTCAGGCAGCATGCTACTTTTGATTATGCTAAATATATACAGTTGTATCTGCTTAACTGCAGCAAAACACTGCAAAAATGTAATTCACATGCGTATTCTCTTCTGAACAACTTGTTCTTAAAAATGAACAAAACCTATAGAAGATTAATAGGTATTTGTATCCCCAGTGAAAACAATGGCACGCCAGTGCAAATAGCAGTTTGTTTAAAGGTCAGTTTGGAAGCACTGGCTTCCRTGGACCTATGTTTTTTGCAACAGGCAGGTTTAGCCCAAATGGAGGTGTCTCTCTGTTCAAATGATCCATGATTATTCTGTTTACTTTACACTAATGGGCAGAACCTCAACTAGTACAGCTCTGAAAGGAGAACATTACTTAGCTTTGATAATTAGCTGTTTAGTAATTAGTAACTTAGCAATTAGTAACTACGGCACCTATCAAAAAGTAGTCCTGAAATAGAAGCCCCTTAAACAAAGTAAATCACTATTTCCCTCTCTAGCTTGTCCAGAAGCAGTTTATCATCTCTTCTTAAGAGAAGTAACTAAGAAAGGCAGCATGAATAGCTCTCAAGGGATCTCCATTTTTCTCCACTGGCTGTAAAAGGGAGCCTAGATGACCATATCGGAGTAAACACGTAACTGTGATGGCTACTGTTAAATAATATGAACTCTACTTTATGATAACAGTGGATGGAGAATGGAGACAGACCTTCCTCCCATACATTGTATTCCTGTCTGTAGTACTGGTTGAGAAATAACGAAACATGCAAAAATAAAGTGAATCTAGTTTTATTACTCTTCCTGTGTCATGAGTCTTCTCAAAGTTCTAAAGAAACTTTGCTTTTAGTCTCTAGAAGAGATGGCAGGTTTGTATATTTGTACAAGGCACAATATTTCTTTCTTTCCATAGCAAAAACRTGTAGTATTCATATTATCACCAAAAATTATGCTCTTTATCTATCATCTGCAATTCTATCCATAGCAAGTGCATGATACTGTAATTAAAGTGTATTGTAGGTATTATGTATGAAAGGGCTCTAATTATTTCAACATACTATTCATTGAAATGCATTAATACAATACSTACAATATATGAAATGATAGATGAAAACAGAATACAACCTTGTAAGTATTTATAGGTCTTTTCATCCCAGAGGAGCCATAAGAATATCAAAATTTATGAGCTGTGTTATTCCATCTCACTAGTTTCTCCAAATTAGAAGGATATGCAAGAGGTTAGCTACCTCCTATAGACCTCCCAGAGTAGTCCAAGGGGATGCAGAGTAGGCATCATATTTATTATGAATGAGGCAGTTTGTATGTGATTTTTCCTTTTAGAGGACACAAGAAAGGGAAAGAAGTTTTTATCTGTACATGACTGAGTGAAAGACTGCTGAAGGCAGGGATGAAAGTCTGAGCAACTGGGTCATGTCTATAGTGTCTCCTCCAGAACAGAGAAATGCTAACCTCCACATGGAAGGGTTGAAATATTCATTGACTTTAATGGGAGTTTCACAATTAACTCAAATGGACCCATATTTTGTCAATGCTAGTCTCTTTGGACTGAGTTGCATTTTTGAATGAATGAACATTTTCAACTAATATTGGCAGGAGTTAGGTAATCAGTGAAATGACAGAGTGTCTGGATAGGTGGGAAATAAGACATCCCCTGGTGAGACCGTCATATTGGCTGATAGTTAACACTTCTTAACTGTTCACTTTTTTTTTTCCTTCATCTTTAGCTGAGATGTGATAATTGACTGCATAGACACTATTTGCCTAATTTAGTTAAAAGCAAAACAAGTTTATCTACATTTGTTTTATTTAGCTGTAAAACAAATAAAGAACACTTCACTTACATGGCAGCTCAGCCTATGCTTTGAAAGWGGCAAACAGTGGGTCATTTTTTTTTAAATCATCAGAAATCTCATAAGCAAAAACTTGACTGTATTATCAATTTCCAGATTTTCTTGAATGAGTTTTTTATGAATGCACTGTACAGTTCCCCAAAAGAAAAAGAGGGGCTTTGTGGGTAATCGGTTAAGTGTGAGCCTGAATCTGGCCTTAAAGAGAAGGCAGTTATCACTTCACTCCACTGTACATTGAGAATGTCATCATTCAGGCTGAGGAACAAGGACACAGGTCAGTTTTATCATTATGTTTTGAAAGAAAGTTCTCATGTGACTTAAACATGTATAACCAAGAATCCTTGTGGACCTATGCAGATTTGAATTGGTAGAGAAGTTTAAACACAAGTGAATGTGATACATACAACATAAAAACATTCAATTTCCAATTTTAAATGCATGTATTTGAGGATAAGGATTAGTTTTCTTTTTCTTTTGCTTACTCCCTTTGCACCATTCTTCTCTTTTCATTAGAGCAGACTACAAATCTAGAGGAAATGCTGCACATACCTGTTTCTCCCCACTGGGCTTCTTGTGGTTTAGCAGCAGCTCCACGGCACCAACTACTTCCTTCCTTATGGCATGCAACAGGGCATCTCCCACATACACATTAAAGCTTAGGAGCAGCTCAATGAGCTCAAGGTTCTCATTTTCAATAGCAATCAGGAGTGCAGTTCTTCCCAAAGGATCAATGCAGTTAATATTGATCTTGAAATAAATTTCTGCTTCTTCTAAAGCTTTCTTCACACTGGCATAATCTCCTTTCTCCACGGCATTCAGGTAGGCTTTCTCTGAATGGGAGAGTTCTGACTCTGCTCGTACGATACGAAGAGGAATGCGATCTCTGTAGGGAGCATTGACACTTCTTTTGTAGTAGAACTGGGCCATATTTTATGCCATTCTAATACTTAGTCTCTGCAAAATGAAAAGAGACATTAGGTCAATAAAGTATTTTGGGGGTACAATACACCAAATTAAGATCTGCAGCATATAAGCATTTAAAGAAAGCATATCTGTCAGCAGACCTCTCACACCTATTTCTCAAATCTGTGTCAAGCATGAGGTTATATGATGTAACTTGCACCTAATATGTAGCTCCAGTACACTTCTTCATTAAGTTCTGTTATCTCACATTTGATCGCTGTTGAGATACACAACTACAGAAAAGGAGAAGCATTAGAAAGAATACCCCTCTGCTCTCATATAAAACAACTGAGAAATTACAGCCCTTTGCAAACAAAATGTTTCCCAGTTGCCCCTCCAAGGTGATATTAGCCACAATCTGTCTAATTAGTCACAATTAGACACAATCTCACTGCAATCATTGAGATTCAGCTCTCTGTTACGTTCCCCACCTATGTGGTGAGGTAATATGCTGAAGGGCATCCTGCCTGGTCTCCGCTGCTACTTCAGAATGACATAGATCTTTCACAGGGTCTGTTTCATATCTGCCAGTTGCACAGGGACATATTTTGGAAAATCCTATAACATGCCCACCTCCATAATGGAGGTGGCAATGTTTTTCTGGTCAATTAAATAGGTGAAGCCCAAGTATCTATTCATACCTCCCTAAAATAGACACCTACATTTGGTCAGCTGGATAGATCCCTAAATTCTGTATTTGCATACAAACATTGTTCAGTTTCCCATTATCTGCAAAGAGTTCCTCAAGACTCCTCAAGAAAACTGAGTAGCTGCAACTGGGAGATTATTGCTTAAAAGCTCTTCTCTCTTGAAGGCACAGTAAGAGTGAATGGATAGATGCCTCCCAATATCTTGAGAATTAAAGTAGTATTTAATTTGGATTAGTGAAATTAGGCATAATGAAGATGCTTATGGTTGAAGAGCACAGTTATTTATAGATAGAATCTATAATGATTATATTGAGGTGATACTGTTTTTCCCCTATTTATGATAAGTCAGAGGAAGAGTTCTTGCTTCCTACGAAGCCCTAAGGAGTTCTCCTTAGTATTTCTCCTTAGTTATTCCATTTGCTGGAATAACTTGTGTTTACTTCTTCATGATTTTTGAGTGGGGGAAAATAGATCTAAACTGAGTTTGTCTCCCTTACGTGAGATACATTAGACAAACAGGTTCATCCTTCTAAACAGATGCCCTATATTAGTCCTATAGACTATCTAGAGTCCTATTCTCTCTTGCCCCTTCCTCTTTCTGAAAATAACCAACCTCAAATAAGACTTAATCTTAATTAAAGATATGTTTATATGCATTTAGAATACAGAGATTGATTACTGATACAATATGCTCCCAGGAGGAATTTTTATGGTCTTGTGTCTCTTTACAGAACTTGATGAAGGGAATAAAGGACCAGGAAACAAGCTTATATAAAAAAAGAATTATCTTTAATGCTTTTTTCTGTCTGCCATCTCCCTAATCCTCAATATGTGGAGTTGAGATGAGCCACATATAACAAGACTTATTCAGCATTTGGAGGAACTGGACCCATATTTTGGAGGAACTGGACCCATATGAGGAGAGACTGAGTTGGACCTGTTTAGCTTGGAGAAGAGAAGGCTGAGAGGGGATATGATTAACATGTAAAAGTACATGAAGGGAGGAAGGGACCAAGCTCTTCTCAGTGGTGAACAGTGACAGGACAAGGGGAAACGGGTGTAAGTTGAAACACAGTTCCAGGAAGGTTGGACTAGATGGAAGGTTGGACTAGATGATCTCTAGATGGATCTCTAGAGGTCCCTTCCAACCTTGAACATTCTGTGATTCTGTGATTCTGTGATTCTGTGATTCTGTGATTCTATGAACTTAGTGTGAGGAAGAATGATATAGGTCCTTTGATCAATTTGGAAAAAATATCACAGTATCCTGTTTTCAGGGAGTTTAGATCTGAATGGAGAAAAAAATAAAATAATAAAAAAAAGAAAGCTCTCAGAACTTATTTTGTGAGAAATCTGACATTTTCTTCTACCAAGTTGGCAGCATTTAAAATTAATACTGCTTCAGAAATGAATAGTATCTTGATTAATATTTGCTACTAATCAAGACATATGTTAATACATCATTTAGTCTATCTCTCAGAAATGATTGCTCTAAAACTACTTATTTATTTCAAAGTTTTTTATTTCAAAAATTGACCAACTTTTTTTATCCTAAATATAAGAAAAAAGCACAAGTGAAGTATTCAGAAATACAAATGTCATTTGATAGAAAAACCTAACTGAGCTATTGCCTTTCAAGAACTGACTCTTCTAACACAAAGCATTTTCACAATAGTAATGTACACAGAGTTCCTGCAAGATGATGACTATATACTAACCCAGATAAATGAGTTAATTACAACATGATAAAAGGGTTAAAAATTAATAACATCATGCTATGCAATTATGATATTTGTTTTTAATATACTTCACTTGAAGAGATTTTAGAAGATATTATACTTTTGGAGTACCTGATTAACAACGAGCATTTCCCCGTTTGCAAAACATGCACAGAGTATTTTGAAATTTGTGGTGACTAATTGTAAATTCAGCTGCTACATGTTTTGGGATTGGAATTTATGAAAAAAAAAAGGCTTACTGCATGGGAAAAAGAAAAGATATTCCTTTCAAAATAATCTGTTCCAGATTATTATGTTGTAGCTGAAAATACCCACATTTTGAGAGTACATGTTTCCCCAAATATAGTTACAAACCAATGAAGTACTGAGCTTAATTTTCCCACCACCAAAGAAAAAAAATAGCATTAAAGAGGGTCAGATACTTTATGCTAGCTTTATGACTTCAGTCCTACTGCAAATACTATTATTCATTACCACTCTTCAACAGCTCAAGATGCTTCTTAACAGGAGCATCCGTTCAAAAGCTCCTTCTGAACAGAACAGAACATTCAGATGTTCCTTCTGAACATCCTCCTGGAGGAAACCTCCTACAGAACATTCCTCTAAATTTTAGGTGCACAGTTTAGTTGCTTAAATATTGACATCTGTTGTCATATTTTCATACTGCACAGGATATCTCATTCCATTTTTCATCRTTTCTCCAAAGGGCACAGGGTTCCCAGAAGTTCTGTGTCATACCTGCCAGGCCTGTGCTGATGTCCTAGATGTCTCAAACACCTAGACCCTACTTAGGCAACTGAATCATGCTCTCAGTGTTTGCAGTTGACGTTAATGTGATTTTTTTTCTGGCTTGTTTTAGACAGCCACACTAGGATGAGAAAAGTCATACTTTTCTACTAATGTGATTAAAACTAATTTAACTTTAATTTTCCTTTCAAATACTTCCTCAGCTTGACTTATGACTGTTCTCTTSTTATTGCACTTTGTGACCTTAAAGCCTATCTTAATGTGTGGATCAATCCCTTCTGATTTGTTCATAGGTTCCTGGWTATTCTTTATTTCCTAAGCCAATTAGTCTTAGAATTCTTTTGTACATATCATTTTTAAATCTCCATTTGGAAGCAAAAAATTGCAACTACATTCTGAACTTGTAACTTAAAAAAAAAAAGTCTAAGGTATCTTGGATTAACATTTATTCCAGTGAAATTTGGTTGAATGTTTTAGATGAAAGGAARCAAACTAATGTTAGAGGGCAAAGTGAGATTTCAGAAAGCTTAGAGTTTTGTATACACTAGTGATTATGAACGTGAGTCCAGCCACTTTTTCAGCATTTAAATATTATTTCCAGTGGAAARATTTTGATTTATTGGATTTTTTCACAGACCTGGAATAGGCTTAGGGCTTAGAATAGTCCCTTGAAAAGAAAGAGAATCTTATTTAAATCTTGCATGAGAAAGGCCTGGTAACTACTGAGCTATTGACTTTTCCAGTGTCTCTCATTCTTTCAGAAATGCAGCATTAAAGTAAAAAAAAAAAAAAAAAAGTTTATAATACTGGAAGAAAAGGTATTAACCAAGTTAGTCAGCTGTCACCAGCCCAGAGCAGTGCCTACCAAAGCATACAAATATATTGCCTCTAGACTTCTGGACCTATTACAGAAATACCACCAGTATCTGGGAAGAGTAAATAAATAAATAAACAAAGATAATATTTGCCTGTGATCTTAGTTTTACAAGAATATATTTCTTCCGCATTTTCTGCAAAGAATCAGTGTCATTCACACTAGCTGCAGACCACTATTTCAAATTATACAGTGCTGAACTTTTTGTACAATCTGCGGGTGTAGCAATATCTTGCCTTGCTTCTAAATCTTTAACTTCTCCACTCTTTTTATCTTTGTTCATGTTTTAATACTTTTAAAAAAGCACTGATGTTATTCATTTTACTCACGATAAAATAAATCACTGGAAATTACTTTCTGTTGTTATATCATGCGCATCTACACATACTTAAAATAACCAGAGCTAGCCAGGGGTTTCCTGATCAAAGCTAAACGTCAAAAAAAAAAAAAAATGCAATCAGCATTCCTTGGGTTTTACTTATCATTTACTTTTGCCTTATATGCTTCTCTAAATGCGTGATTCTCAATAATTTTCCAGGGAAAACTTGACCTGCATTCCCACACGCACAGCTGCTCACTCTCAGGCAACGTGGTACCAGGGTGCGCCTGGAGGGAGCAGGGAATCAGACAGTCACTGATGGGCAGCACCAAACATCACTTTGACAAACCACTTCTCCCGAAGCCTGCAGTGATTGTGTTTATATGTCATAACCCTCTTAAAGAAATGGAAAGACAGGCAGGGACAACACTTCTCTTTCAAGAGATGATCAGCAATATTGCAATAAGGCAGCTGAGCACAGATGGAACACAGGAAGCCAGTTGTGCTTTGTAAGATCTGGATGTGGGATTTCTCAAAACTTCACTGACACTACACTTTGAAAAATACTCTATTTCCAGCACTGCTCACTGTAGTAGACTTACGATAGCCTTATTATACTATAATTTCTTCTGTGATGCCATCAAAGGTATACCTCTGATTTT